TTTAACACTTGCTCATGTTTTCTTTCTTTTTTCTATTTATTTAATTTTTTTAGCAATGTTTATAATAGCTTTATTCATTATAGTCCCAAACAAGAAGCAATCTAAATGCTTGTGAATAGAAGAGATAATTTGGGTATATTGCCATTTTGAATTTACATTAAATTAAAAAGAGAATAATTTACCCAAATGAATATGCAATGGTTTCATTTTTAACATAAATTCTGTCTCTCAATGACACACAGCAGTTGCACATGACTTGGGGAGCACAAGTGCCCACTGCCTTAAGTACCTCTCGGTCCTTCCTGATGATAACACTCCAGACCCATTCTTCCACCTGTGTGCAAACTGTGCTTGTTCAGGCCAGCATGCCATTTGCACTGGGGATCAGGGCACTACACCACTGGTCTTACCTGAATGCAGCACAGCACCCATGGCCATGCTCTCCCCTGGTCACTGTTATCCCAGTCTCCAGTAACCACTATTCTATTCACGACATCTCAAGGATCAACATTTATAGATGTGGCATTTTTACACCGTAGAATATTATTCAGCTATAAGACAGAATAAATTATTTATTTTAACTTTATTTTACTTTATACAGTGCACAATAGTATTACATCAGAAAAATTAAAAGTGATACAGAATTTCACTTCAGAATTTAATATGAATTTCACAGTATTTATTATAATGCATAGTGCTGTCTTCCAGCCAGTTATTCATATTATCAGATATATGCATTCAAAATTGGAAGAAGAAATATATAAAAAATTAAGAGAAAAAAAGAGAAACGATCAAAAAAAGAAGACAGAACAAATTAAGCATTATCTGCTTCTTTCCATAGATCAGCAGAAATCCTCAGTACAGGTGTCCAAGCCATCCTGTTTACATGCATAGATCCATCTTTTTTCCCAATCCTTCTTCTATTCTTCTACTCAACTCAGTAACTCTTTCCTTATTAATAATAAGTCCATTCCCTTTTCCCAGTATGTACTGTACCCTTCAGATTCCATTTTCTCTTTAAGGTTGTCACACTAAGAAGACAATATGATGTTTGCACAGACAGACCTGATTTATTCCATTAAGAGTGTGGTCTCTAGGTGCACCCATTTACCACCAAAGTCTCAAACTAACTCTGTTTTATAGCTGCATAGAACTTGCTTGAATGGTATTTTTAATCCCAGCTTCTGAAAGACTCTGCACACTGATTTCCAAAGTAGTTGAACTAGTCTGCCCTCTCAGTAAAAGTGGAGAAGGTTGTTTTTGGGTTTTTTCCTCCACAGCCCCTCCAGCATTTGTTATTGGCTGACTTTTTTCTTTTCTTTTTTTGTTTTTGTTTTTGTTGTTGTCATTTTGTTTGTTTGTTTTTGGCCAGCTCAGCCCTGCCCTGAGGGTGGTGCTGGCATGGAATGTGGTGCCAGGGACTGAACTGTGGTCTCCTGCTCCTGCTAAGATTGCCTAAGTAGGCACTTTAGACCACTGAGCTAACTCTCCAGCCCCTTGCCTGACTTCTGCATGTTATCCATTCTTTCTGGTATGAGATGGTATCTCAGTGTTGATTTAATTTGCATTTCTCAAATGACCAATGATGTTGAATGGTTTTTTCATATATTTACTTTCTATTTGTATTTCTTCATCTAAAAAGTATATATTCAACTCAGATGCCCATTTTGGATTGTGGCTTTGAATTTGGGGGGGGGATGATTGTTTTTAATTCTTTACATATTCTAGATAGAAGGCCTTTGTCAGAGGGACAGTCAGCTATAAAACCCAGTTCATTGGTTTTCTTTTTACTCTGTTGGAGATTTCTTTTGAACTGCAGAAAGTTTTCAACAAGATGAAATACCAGTTGTTGATTCTTTGAAGTATTTCATGTGCAGTTTGATTTTTGTTCATGAGCTCTCTGCCTACCCCTATGAATTTAATATTTCTACCTATTTTTTCCTCTAGAAGATTTAGTGTTTGTATTTTAACATTTACATCTTTGATCCAGTTTGGCTGTATTTTAGTGCATGATGATAGACATGAGTTTGCTTTTAGCCTTTGGTGTGTAGAAAACCAGTTTTTCCTAAACCATTTATTAAAGAGACTATCTTTGACCCAGTGAACATGCTTGGCCCCTTTATCTTTGATAAAGGGGCTGAGAGTGTTTGCAGCTGTGTCTGCACCTTCCACTCATCCCCAAGTCTGTCCATATGCCAGTACCATGCTGATTTTATTACAGTAGCTTTATAACATAAATTCAGGTCAGGGATTGTGATACCTCCTGCCTCTGCATTGTTTCCCAGGATTGCTTCTGATATTCTGGTTCTCTACTGGTCCCAAATGAATTTGAGGAAAGTTTTCTCTACCCAATATTAGGTATACAAGTGGTGTATTAATCAGAACTGTATTCAATCTGTATAACATTTTGGGAGTATTGACATTTTCACAATGTTGGTTCTTTCTATTCATGAACATAGAATATCTTTCAATTTTTTCTGGTCCTCCTCACTTTTATTAGAGTACTATGATTTTCTTTTTTTTTACTTTTAAGATACAGTTTTTCTTTGTGTGTATTTGAAAATGGTTTTCAGTTTTTTTAAAATGAAATTCATTGGGGCTGGTGAGATGGCTCAGTGGTCTAAAGCACCTACTTAGAACAAGTTTGGCAAAGCACAGGGACTACAGTTCAATCCCCCAGCACCACATGCCGGCCAGCCCCGCCCCCTGGTGGGCTGGGCTGGCCACACACACACACACATGCATAAATAAATAAATAAATTTTAAAATGAAATTCATTGCCAAAAATAGCAATAAGACTGTCTCAAAACAGGTTAGTAGGGCAGTTACAATAATTAATACATTGCATATGGTTGTCTTCACAGTAGTTATTCATAGTACAAGATGCAGACATGGTATCTTGTCTAAGCACTATTAGTACAAATCTTTCTTCTGATTGAATTAAGAGAAAGTAGGTGTATGTCTATACTATTTTGTATATACAGATATATGTATTTTTCACTACAAAATGGTCCTCCATTTATATCCCTCTATTTTGTTTAGTTTTGTCAGAGATGGGTATTCCATTGCCATTGAAATATTATATGTGCATAAATTCAGGATAATAATCCAATATAGTCTAGTAGTCTATAATAGTACTGGGTTATCTGTAGGACTTATATAACAAGAAATGTAACTTATATAACAAGAAATGTAACTTTTGCTTGTGACAAGATTAGTCAGATTCTCTCAGGATTTACCCTGAAACCCTGTGCAACAGTTTGTAGATCATTTGCTAGTATCACACATGTGAATGAGTCATGGCTATTGCTTGACCAATATGCT